TAGGGACCTTAAGCAACCACGACGGCGACGGCAACGAGGACGTGGAAAAACAAGAGATCTAATTGGCAGAACAATAGCCCAGCACGTGCATTTTGAAACTTTGTACATTTCTTAGCCGTCCTATGCAAAACAACAACGTGAAATCGCCAAAATTTGCGTCGTCTGCGAACCGAAACCGCGACGGCAAATTATTTTAATTTCCATTTGGAACTCAACGCTGCTTTTATACGTCATGCTGAAGTTGAGCTGTGGCGTCGTATGAGACACTAAGCTCATGCAGCCATTTTTAAAATTCGAACTAAGAGTAGAAATTCATTTTTGAATCGAAGTCTTCCTTGGCGTTGCCGTCCTGACTGCTTAAGGTCCCTAATGTAGCAGGAACTGACTGCACAGCTATCTTAAACTTATACACGGTCAAATTTCATTGCATGTTTGTCCACTGCATGACTGTTCCAGCAGTAAATCCCTTACCTATTCCATACAATTCCTGAGCTGAATCTGTTTAATTTGTTCAGTGGAAAAGGTAACTGAAGGAGAGGAGATTCAAGAAAGGATCGTCCAAGGCTGGGCCGAAAGGTGGGTGAGGTGATGTAAATGCAGAAAATGTGGACAACAGCTATAACATTTCTTCCACTGTTATCATTAGTGTGCAGTTAAATGATTTTCATATGTGGCAGTTATGGAAAGAGTCACATGACCTTCACAATTCATAGTCTCAACAGAAAAAAAAATTATTTGTTATTTTAGACAGAAAAGACGTCAGAAATATCCAGCAATTTCCACTGAGCATGGACCAAGAAGAAGTGATACCCCAAGTCCTATTCCACAGAATGATGACAAGGACCGGTCACAGAATATGCCAAATGAAACAAGCCCTAAAGATGGACAGCAAAAAGCTACTGAAGAGTTAAAGAACAAGGAGTATGTGTCTGGACATTGTACTACAGATGACCCTGAAAAAGAAAATGAAACAAGTCCTCCAGCTGACAGAAGTAGTGAATCCACTGAAGAGATGGTAGCTGCTGACTGTCTGAACGAACAGGAAGATGTTCTAAGGCTGGAGGATGAAGGTGGATTTTCGTCTGTGGAGATGCTGGAGGAGGAAAAAGAAAGAAGATCAGGTAATGGGCATGTACCATCAGGAGGCGATGAACTGCCTTCAGGGACAAGCGAGAGTTCAAACCTTTTGGCTTCAAATCCCAAACCATCTGTATCTAAGACCCTTTGGAGGAACGTGAGAGATTCATTCACCAAATCTTCAGACCATCTTCCACAAGTCCACTCAGAAGTCCTGGTACCAGCAGCAGATGTCAATGTGGCTGTTGTATCTTACAAGCGCAGTACATCACGTGATTATTTCAAAGTAGATGTTCATGATGATGATGAAGATCATTCTGCACTGTATTCTGATATTTCAACATCATGGGCCACAAGTTTCTGGACGCAGTTCACAGTTCTCCTACTAAGAACGTTTAAGCAGTCCAAACCAGACATTCTGTCTAAGCTAGATCTAGCACAGGTAAGCACTGTTTGATGTATAGTTTGACATTTGGGTTGGGGTCACACCTGAAATAACAGTTCAGTGTTGCTGTCCATGGGTGAGATTTCCAGAGATGAACCGAAACAGTTCCTCAAAGTCAAGAGCTGTGGAGATAAAAAATACACATATCGTGAACTTGTGGGATGTGGCTGTAATACGCATGCTATGATAGATAGTAAGGGAATGTGAATGACACTTACTTTCCATTCCTTACTTGCTATGATTGTATCATCGCAGCAACATAGCGCAAGAGTATACCACGCTTGTATCTCTGTATCTCTCTTTGGGGGAGTCCAAAACACTCATGTTCGGTAGGGAAAAACACCATAGCTAACTTGATGGTTTTCTTTTTCTCTTGTTTGGTGGTAAAAGCCTCGTGTGACTGTTCTTCTTTCACCTAAACGTGCATTTCCAGTTACCATATTATTATTTATTGATTGGAAAGATTGAAATGATTGAGGTGATTGACATGATTCAAACTATTCGGCTTTTCTAAGTCACTTTTTACAGTCCTGTGGAAATTATTGGTTTCCTTACAATGTAGTTGTGTGTCATTTGTTCCAGAACTTGCTTCTTGCCTTGATTTCGGGCTTGATCTGGTTCCAGCTTCCTTACAAAGAGCAGAGCATTGAAGACAGATATTCACTGGTAGGTTATGTTACGAGTGTCACTCTTAGTTATGAATACAGGCCGCTGTTCACGATGAAATCGAACATTTTGAATAATTGAGTGCGGGTGATCTGGGGGTGAGAGGGGAATCAGTGATGTCAGACCTTAACCATTCATTAGGCCTTATTTAGCCCATCTTTCACAGATTGCGTTGTCGTAGAGTTTTATCACTGGCTGTAATCCCAGTTCATTCACTGCACCACTTGAGTTTACCAAAGAAAAATGTTAAAATTTTATCGCAAGAATCTATTTTCCTTACGTGTGGGACATTAACATTTTTCACATGGAACAAATGATAGGTTTTAGCTTGAAAAGAGATGCAGCTTCTAATTTTGGCCTGGTTTACGAGAAAAAGAAGCGGGTTGTTACTTTTGTGAGTAGATAAGTGATCTCGCATACCTGATGTGAGGTGAAGAAAATATGTGCAAAGCACGAGGCTCCTACCTCTTCCGACCTTTCAATTGACTTGACTAGACAATCAATTGACTTTATATCGACATTTGATTGGCTGATTCGCGTCCTTTTACTTTTGTCGTATAAATGCTGGAAACGGTATTTGACCGAGGTTTGGTTTTACTTTACAGCTGTTTTTCGTTGTGGTTTATTGGATGTTCAGTCCACTCTTCCAAGCTCTGTTATCATGTAAGTCGAGATTGTAAGTTCTTTTGATGAACATTATTATTCTTCTTTCACGGTTTTGTAGTGCACTCTCTCAAAGTTACATGTACCTAATTTTGACGATAGTCAGTAGACATAAGACTGCACATCCAAGAATTGCTACATGCACCAAAAGAGTTCTTCAATTCCGCGATGTTACTTTGTTAGTTAAAGATAAGGTTAAAAAAGCGAAGAGGATCATAGAAGGAAGAATTAGAGGGAGTCACATCCCTTTGTTCTGTTTTTAAAAGGTCTGTAATCTCTAGTAGAGGCTTAAAAATGCGACTTTGAGTGCAATCAATGGTACACAAATGAAATAATTGGCATACAGTGTGTAAGAGAGTCGTAACACTGGAATCGATTCTTGATATCGGAAGCTCGAGATGTACCCAGGCAGCTGTACAATTGGGGATTTTTAAAAAACCTACAGGCTTGATATTTGTTTCTTATGCATGAAAGAAGGGGCCGAAGTTCATGATTTACAGGTTCTGCTCGTTTGGGATCATTCAAGATTTGAAGCGACAACGTTTGAATGCAAAATCCTGATTCTTGCAAGTAACCTTGATGAACTACCCTGAATGACAAAACATATGAAGCACATCTCCTTGTGACGTTATTGCCTTATTTTTACAAATTACACTCACGAAGTATTTTCAACTGTGGATCTAATTATTTATCTGTTGTTTAATTAGTTCCAAGTGAAAGGAGTGTAGTGAATAAAGAACGTGCTGCTGGCTATTACAGACTGTCTGCATACTATTTAGCCAAGTTGTGTAGTGAATTACCGCTGGTCTTATGTCAGCCGACTCTGTTCTATACGGCAGTCTATTGGATGACGGGTTTAAACAGAAGCGAGGCCTTTCTTGGTAACCTTTTCGTGCTTTTGTTAACAGCCATAACAGGACAGGTAAATTCAAGTTTAGAGAAATTCCATTCCACTTTTAATTTGAACTGATGCGAGTAAGAAACCTTTCTATTGGTATATACTAATTTAAAGTATATTGATAAACTGCTTTTGAGAGAAGAAGAATGCTAAAACTGGGCAGATAATATATCTCTTCTTTAATGGGCTGACGCTCTGCACCACCGAGAAAACTGTTTGATGGGAAAACTTGAAAAAAGAAAAAAAATGCAAAGTCACCCATGACGAGTCAAACCACGAAATCAGCTTTATTTCTGTCACGTGTGTAAGGCGGAAAGTTTGCCAGTACGCCTCGAAATATAACCTACCTTGCTTTGTATGCGGATAGACAAAGAACGCCGTTTGGCTTTTTACTCAATCAAGTAACCTCTCTGTTACTGTTTTTTTTTTCCAGTATAACAATTGAAATTTTTTGCATGACTTGAGAGATAGAGAGTCGCTAGAAAAAAAACTCTCAACAAAAAAACTGTGATTCTTCATCTCCTCTATAGCGATGAAACAAAAAAAGAAACAGGAATTCCAGGAAAGTGTCTACCGGTTTATTTGTTTGCCATAGTATAAGGTGTTTTCACGTTTGTAGATAAAGCCCTTTTCTTTCGTTGTCCAGTCCGTAGGTTTGTGCATCGGTGCTACAGTAATGAACTTCAAGAAGTCAGTAGTGGTGTGTGCTGTATATGGTCTGACTTGTATGTTGTTGGGCGGATTCTACCAGAAAAATATACCCTCGTGGCTATCTTGGTTCCAGTATACTGCTTTCTTGAAGTATTCTTATGAGGCTTCCCTTGCCATTGAATTTGGTAATTCTCCATCATTCAGGTGAGCTTAATTCTGAGGTATGCAATATCCGGTAAACTCAATTCCACTTCAAACTTGTTACATGTGTCTCTTGACATGTTTGAAATTCTCTTTCCCTGTTTCCTTCTGATGTTAAACAGATAGCACATCAGGTGATACTTTCATGGAAGTTACCAAAACGTCACAAAAAAACAATAATAATAATGCTAACAAGAAAGCTAGAAGGGATAGTAACAGTATGGCAAATATTTTTAACACACTATCGTTATTTGGTACACAATTTTATGTCAAAATAATGATTAAAAAAAAACAATTTAAAAAAACACTCAAATTGCATCATTTTTGTTTCCTCAGTTGCTCGACGATTGACTCTTCCTATGGTAGATGCCAAAACAATGGAACCTCCATCGAAGGAACGGACATTTTAGAGAGGCTGAATGTTACAAGATCTGTGGGAGAAAACATTGCTGTACTTCTCTGTTTTATTGTTATTTTCAGAATTTTGACATATCTTTCTTTACGCTACTTACAAAAGCCAAAGTGATTTGCGCATACATAGATATTGAACGAGCGATCTGTTATTTCTTTGTGTGGCGTTGAGATGTCAACCTGTTGCTATTTGCCTGATAACTGACATGTTTACCAGTGTCCACTTTTTCAACTTAACAGAGTGGCGTTGAGTTGATCAAGCATCGTTAAAATGATATGGAGTAAATGAAGCATGAGACGGATTTTATTCCCCAGTGCTGAAGGCGTTGAGTTTGATCATGCATCGTTGAATAATATAGCATGAGATAAGAGGTTTATCTTCCAATTGCTGATGGTGAGACATTAGTAGAAGATTTTGATTCCTTTCTTCCCACCTCCCCCCCCTCCCCGCCCTTCACCACTCGAGCGGCCATGTACATGTATTGTAATTATTGCTGTTATTATTTAAATATTTAACCACAAGATATCATTTAGAGAGACGTTTCGAGAGCAAAAACTTCAATGTTTTAACGGCGCTTGAACAAGTCATATCTTACGAGCAAGAGGAATTATGATATCCCTGTTATAGTAAGATGCGTTCTTTTAGGACTGAGGAGGATATGACAAATAAAACATATAGATATTTCTGAACGTTAAATAGAAGACGATAACTCGTTGTGGTTTGAATGTTTTTGTTCAAAGATGACTATTGGAGAACGATCATCGAGTGATTATGTGTGTGTGTGTGTGTGTGTGTGTGTGTGTGTGTGTGTGTGTGTGTGTGTGTGTGTGTGTGTGTGTGTGTGTGTGTGTGTGTGTGTACAGTTAAACCTGAACGAAGCGGACCACTAAGAAACCCTTGCTACTATCCGTTTAGTACAGATTCTGGTAAATTATGCACTGATATCAAACTTCATTTAGTGTTTTACAGTATCAGCATCACTTCAATGATTACGGTACAGTCAAACCTCAATTATCCGGATTCGTTGGGACCAGACGAAATAGTTTGGATAATCGAGGGTCCGGATAATCGCGAATATGAAATTGATGAGGAAAAAAAACTGATTTCATTTAGAAAGCGACATTTAATCGTGAAACAAAACATTTACAAATAGTTTTGAAAACAATTATTGTACTCTTAATCATTCCAAATTTGAAAACTATATTTTGAAAACTAAATATAAAACTATAACTAAATATAAAACTATAACTATAATTTGAAAAAAATAAAGGTCATCTAAGATGGTGTAAGACAATAAAAATAATGAAACCTAAGATGGTCTTTAATCCTCCCTTAGGGAGAATGATTTCAAGATAAAATGAATATTTAAAAAACGTTCATTTTAGAATAAAAATTGTCGTGACCAGGATTCGAACCTGGGTTATTGCGGTCACTCGCACGACCACACCCTTAACTCTCACCCTAAGCCCAATTCCCTAACCCACTTATTCCCATACCAAAATCAAAATTTAAACCCTAACAGTCAGAGTGAGACAAACAATGGAAGCAATAAAACGCAAGATGGCGACTCATAGTTCTAATGGTAAAAGTGATTTCAAGATGTCATTAGCACTCGCATCGTGTAAAAAAAAATCGAGAATAAAAGAGGTTTGTTTCTGCCTAACCCTATGATGAGATGTGAATAGTTCGGATGGTGATCACTCAGTTCATGAGTATTCAAAATTCTCTGAAAATGAACAATGGTCCGTTCGAGGTAAAAACATGCGATAGCTTTTTTCTCAATAAAAATGTTTACTTTAGTTCAAATCTTAATTAAAAATAATCTGCAACGTGTGAGTGTGATCACTAGCAGTGAGGAAAGTGTTTGACTTTAAATTCTATGCAAAATTCCGCAAGTGAGGAAAAGAAAATAACAACGATACATCCATGCAATTCAATGACAATGATTCGAAGAGAAATAATTAAATCTCCCGTTTCATACATTAAAAAAGTATCAGAAAAAAAATTGAATGAAAAGGGTATTCAAAAACGCAGCACCATGCTCATGAACATTCCCATTTCTCGGGAAAAATGAACCATAGAGCAGACAAACCGGGGAAAATACGGAAGGCCAGCAGGCGTTGTAACCTAGGTAGTCTCATTATTATCTGTCCATCAAATTTTAATCAAGTCATAGCATCCTTACATGTTTTTAGGATCAAAGTCAATGACCTGTCTGTCCAAAATTGTTTCCGAGTTATAACATGTGTCAATCAATGATAGACCAATGAAAATCTAGCAATGGGTGTATAAGAGTGGCTATGAGTCGGAATGGTATGATCATACATGTAACCAAAGTGATGATGAAGAAAGTTCGATTTCATCCAGTCAGACAAGTGGTGTATCTCACTGAAATCAATCCCTAAATAGAAGTCGAAGAGAAGATAAATATACAATCAAACCGTTCCAGGATACTCCGTTTAAACACAAAATAAAAAAGGTAAAAGAGAGGCAACATGGCAAGTACATATATACAAGCAAGTTTTACACAAAACCTGGACATCTATATGTGATAAAGCGATTGGAAGAATTACAAGGAGCATAATCCAAAGAAGACTTGCTTTACATGTTACGAAACATGACTAAAACGTGGAAACATTGCCACGGTCGCTACGCGACCGCATTCCGGACGCGCGCGCAGGAGCAGGAAAGAGGAAGAAAGAGAAGGGAAGAGTGTAAATAGAATGATATATCGCCGTAATAAACTGTCTTAAAGAAGTGAAAGTCACATTTGTTAGTGGTAATGTTTTACCGCGAATGTATATGACCCCCCCCCCCAGAGTTTAACGGCTTTCCGTGCTACCTACAGGTCGCGTTCAAGGACAAACGTGTTTGGATAGGTGTGACCTGTCATCGCTAGCCTTTAACAAGCGCGACCCTTATGTCGCGCTTACCGACATACGAGCTTCGCAGGGCATAAGATCAAAGGAGCCGATGTCCTGCCTCGGAGCGGGTCATATCGGGCNGTGTGTGTGTGTGTGTGGGTGGGTGTGCACAGTTAAACCTGAACGAAGCGGACCACTAAGAAACCCTTGCTACTATCCGTTTAGTACAGATTCTGGTAAATTATGCACTGATATCAAACTTCATTTAGTGTTTTACAGTATCAGCATCACTTCAATGATTACGGTACTGTCAAACCTCCATTATCCGGACTCGTTGGGACCAGACGAAATAGTTTGGATAATCGAGGGTCCGGATAATCGCGAATATGAAAGTTAATGAGAAACAAAAACTGATTTCATTTAGAAAGCGACATTTAATCATGAAACAAAACATTTACAAATAGTTTTGAAAACAATTATTGTACTCTTAATCATTCCAATTGTTTCAAAGCGGTGTCTTCTCCTGTCTGCTAATTATGGCTGATTACTGGAAAGAAGTTTGATGAAAATTATGGTTAGTATCAGAGAAGGTACGTTTCCGGATTGCATGCACGATACCACCGAAGCACTGCATTTTTCGCCAATTGGCTGGTTTTATCTTTAAAACGAAGGCTTCTTAATTTTGCAAAACAAAGATAACTATTGCCGCCAACTTCAGTTCAACGCCATTTGATTTGCAACGTTAATGTGTAAATATTTATGGCCGTTTGCATAAGGAAATCGCTGCCTTTCAAAACGGATGTAGCATGAAATTATCGGATAGGGTCACTAGAAATTGAGCCACGGAACGTTATGAAGTCTTGTGCCTATCTGATCTAATTGCAAACACAATTCTTCTAGAAGCCAATTGTTCGCATATTAAAGTACATTTTCCGAGTGCCCACCACCAGTAAATAACACCAGAATTAACCCTTCTTGTCTAAGACAGAGTCACGATTTAGTTTCGTCCATATAAAAGCCGCCATTTTGTTACTGTTCGCGCGCTATCCACGCGTGAAAAAAGTGCGCAGTTAGGATGCGCAGTTCTTTTAATTGTTTCTTGCCAGGCCTGTAGATAAAAATCAGTGCAATGGCGTTCACGTCCATAAACTTAAAAGTGAAAAGTTTCGTCGAATTCTCAAGCCATCGATACAGTAAAGAAAGACTAATATCCTACCTAAAAGGTTGTCTTATTTAGGGGTCTAGTCCTCTGGGTCTGTATTATCATCTTCATGTCCAGAAGCGGTCGTTTCATTCCAAGTTGGTCCTTGTATCTAGGGCTTTTGGAAAGGTGTACAAAGTCCACTTTGAACCATGCTATAAATAATGAAAATGTAATGCTTATGCTTCCAACAAATGTGGTTAACAGGCTTGCAAAGAAAAACAAGTAACGTATATGAGCACGATCCTTCGCAGTAAAGCACTATTTGAGCAATAGTGAAAATCAGACCTGAAAAAAATTTCAGGCCTGTACGGGATTCGAACCACTGACCTCTGCGATACTAGTGCAGCGCTCTACCAATTGAGCTAACAAGCCAACTGGGAGCAGGCCATCAAATTAATTCGACATAAACCCGTAGATGATAAATCAAACAACAACAAACATATGAAACATATGTGTGAACTGCGGTTATGAGACGTATATGAGCACGATCCTTCGCAGTAAAGCACTATTTGAGCAATAGTGAAAATCAGACCTGAAAAAAATTTCAGGCCTGTACGGGATTCGAACCACTGACCTCTGCGATACTAGTGCAGCGCTCTACCAATTGAGCTAACAAGCCAACTGGGAGCAGGCCATCAAATTAATTCGACATAAACCCGTAGATGATAAATCAAACAACAACAAACATATGAAACATATGTGTGAACTGCGGTTATGAGACGTATATGAGAACGATCCTTCGCAGTAAAGCACTATTTGAGCAATAGTGAAAATCAGACCTGAAAAAAATTTCAGGCCTGTACGGGATTCGAACCACTGACCTCTGCGATACTAGTGCAGCGCTCTACCAATTGAGCTAACAAGCCAACTGGGAGCAGGCCATCAAATTAATTCGACATAAACCCGTAGATGATAAATCAAACAACAACAAACATATGAAACATATGTGTGAACTGCGGTTATGAGACGTATATGAGCACGATCCTTCGCAGTAAAGCACTATTTGAGCAATAGTGAAAATCAGACCTGAAAAAAATTTCAGGCCTGTACGGGATTCGAACCACTGACCTCTGCGATACTAGTGCAGCGCTCTACCAATTGAGCTAACAAGCCAACTGGGAGCAGGCCATCAAATTAATTCGACATAAACCCGTAGATGATAAATCAAACAACAACAAACATATGAAACATATGTGTGAACTGCGGTTATGAGACGTATATGAG